TGAACCACAGGACGATGTACTAGGATGAATCACAGGACTGTGTACTAGGATGAACCACAGGACACTATACTAGGCCATTTCTGCTTTATGATTCCAGCCACGGTGAGCAGAATCGCACAATCCTGACCTGCTGATTGGATGCCTTGATCTATCATTTCCCTCAGCTCTAGGAGGAGCCTGTTTCTAGTTCCCTCTTCTCAGTCCCAGGTAGGGAGGACATTGCCAGGTAGTTTTTCAGGTCTGTAGATTGACAGCTGTTGAGACAGCTGTGCTCCTTGAGGCAGAACACGAGCTGCTTCCCCAGCAATGCAAACCAAAGACAAAGGGTCAAAAATAATCCCAGCAGACTCACAGGGCTGCCTTTGCTCTGCTCAGTGCCATTTCTCCGCTTTCTGGTTTGGTTTCTCTGACTTTGAGTCTTGCCTTTGTCTTTGCATTTTGCTACGTGCATATATTTCTCTCAGTCCCTTCCCCATCAGGGTCTAACCTTCAGATCTGTTTTCTATAAACTCACGAAGTAGCATGGTCTGCCCCCTGGATAATTTTTTTTTTTTTTGGAGGGCTGGGAGAGAGTTCAGTGACAGAGCCTTGGTCTAGCCTGTGCAAAGTCCTCACTGTGGTCCCTAATAGGGACAAGGGGGAGGGGAAGCAGTAGGAGGGAGGGGAGAAAAGAAAAGAAATAGAAAATTAAAAAAGAAAGGAAAAGACCTGGAATCCAACAAGCATGCACACTATCATTAAATATATTAGCTCTATATTCCAAATGTTATAACCAAAATGGACTTGAGCTTAGGGTATGGGGTAGGCACGACTCTCATACACTGGCAGTAAGTGTAGGAAAACAAGAGAGAAACTGCTGATAATGGCTCTTCGTGACCTGCATTTAAGAGCCCTGAAAAGCTTTTGAGAAGTTAAGACTTCTCTGCGCAGATTAATTAAGCAGTAAAAAATGCCACTAAGTGCCTAACAGTTGAGGCCATAACACTAAATTGCCAGTTTTAATGAAATTCTCTCCTTACAAGAGACACCATCGTAGTGAGCTGCAAGCAACCATCTCAAAGGCACACAAATTTCTTTACGATAGCTAAATAATTCCAGTGAAGACTCCCCATGTGAGTCTTACAATGTTGATCATTTGCTAAAGAATTATGAAAATAACCACTCCCGTTTTTAGTAAGGTGCCGAGACAACCTCTTCGTGCTGGGTCCCTAAGGGTCCCTTGTGATTACTACTGAGCCAGCTCCAGTGCTGTCCAAATCTCAGTGAGCCAGGACTTCCCACCTCCTGTGCAATATGGAGAAGAGAGAACGGGAGAGAGGTGAGGAGGGCTAGGTTCAGAGTGCAGAAGACCTGAGCTTAATGAGAGATCCAGGAGAAGAAAGTACACAGTGACAAGCAGAGTCTGCCACCCAGACAGCCAGACTGCAGACACACACACACACACACACACACACACACACACACACACTCGCATATGAGACTGCCTTGTTACCTGTCCATTTCGGTCTCCAGCTTGACTGTCTTGACTCCTTCAAAGTCTTAGGCCAAAGGAAGCTTGCTTCAAGCAAGGCTGCTTCAGTGCCGCTGTGTGACAGAGCACTGGCCCCTGGCATTCAAATCTGAGCTCACCCTTGTGGGCTCCTCCTCCAACAGCATCACTACCACCAGGTATCCAACATCTGCCTCCTGGTTGGGTCCAGTAAAGATGGGTGGGGCTGTGGTAGGCAGAGCCATACGGTTTAAATGATTCAGGGCAGTTCTGCTCAATGGTCACTTTTATTTGAGGCTTTTCCTCTAAATAAATAAATAAATAAAACAGCTCAGGAACCACAGGTAACAAAGACCAAGAGACAACAGTGGGCACCTACAAATTGTCAGCATGTTAATAAGAGTATCTGTGTGTGTATGTGTGTATGTGTGTGTGTGTGTGTGTATGTGTGTGGATGCATGCATGTGTGATCCTGAGTATCAAACCTAAGGCCTTGTGCAAGCTCCCTAATTTTAAAACTCTGATATTAATAATAATGACAATAATCATATTTACTTAAAGTGGCATTAATTAAAATTTCAGTGGCACATTTTTAGTCCCTCAGTTCATGACATTCAACTTTGGGCCTCAGTAGAGATAGGTGTTGACAGCCTTGCCTCCTGGCTGAGCAGGCAAACTCAGTCGCACAGCATCCAGAAAGTGTAGTTTGGCCTCTCCACCCACTAATACTTTTCTTTTAAAAAATCACATTACAAGATAGCTAGAAAGACTAGCTGCTCACACCAAAGAATGATTTTAAATGAACCATTTCCTTCTCATTATAAATATCTTGCTGGGGGCCATGATTAGGAGCACTTGCATCTATTGCAGAGGACCCAGGTTCAGTTCCCAGCAGGTGGTTGAGAGCCACCATGTGGATGCTAAGAACCAGACCCCGTTATCTGGAAGAGCGGTAAATGTTCAATCTCTCTCTTTTTTTTCCTTCCTTCCTTCCTTCCTTCCTTCCTTCCTTCCT